CTAGCCTCAACTGCATTTTCTGATGTCACTTAGCCAAAATATTTATTTAGTAATTGCTGCATTATATTGGTTTCTTTAGGACTTTTTCCAATGCAAGTGCCAGTAAGCCCAATTATATTTGGCTTCGACAAAATGGAATTTAGGAGTTGACATACTGAAGGGTCCCAGGATTGGCCTAGCTGGAGGCATTAATAGATCCAGTTCTTGTACAATGACACAGACCTGGTACCACTAGTGTCCCTTCCTGGTAGTGAGAGGCATGCAGTAAGTCTGGGCTTCTATACGATGCATGGTGTTCACTGTGTTGGACTGACTTGAATCATTTGCCAGTCCCTACAATAGTCACGGTGGCCACAGGGGTCTAGCGGTTGATTGACTGGGTCTGAGTAACACACCGGACTAAGAGGCAGAAGGTTGTCTCCACACAGGCATTTTCATTACCAGGAGTAGGGAGAATGATATTTTGGGAAGCACAAATGATTAATGCCCAGGAAATTCTGTAACTGAGCCCTCTGTCTATCTCCAAAATGGACATACTTCCTTTGTTCATTTTTCCTTCATAAAACAAATATGTTTGAGCATGGATAATGTGCTAGTGACTATTGCAGTGAGCAAGAGGACAGGATATCTGCCCTCACGAAGATCAAGGAGAGGTAAACAGCCACTTGTACACATAAAGGCCCCATGGGGATGGAATGGGTGTAAATGTGATGAATTGTATGATGAGTTTCATATGCCAAAAATCATGGCAGATATAATCAATTATGACTCTTAAAAGTCTCACTTTTGGTTGAGGCATATTGCCTGTCAAGATAGGAAAAGGTATAACCCATTAATCTCTTGGCTCTTACTATGTACAATTTTTCAAAAGAAATAGATTGCTTTAGCTGGAAATACACCTAGAAGAGGTGAATGTTGAAGGAGAAAGGGGACAAGTTCTAGAGCAGAAGTTCCTCGGGTGGGGTGGGCTGGAGGCACTCACTGGGCAGAATAGGGTCCCTGACATTTGGCCTAATTTATCTGAAGAGATGGCAAGAAGGGGGCAACACCAAGTATAAACTTTTAAAGTCATAAAAAAGTTTTATGAATAAAGTCTAAATATTTATTTCCTTTCATTCATTACAGTAAAATGCCTAACATGAAAGATATGAATAGTTAGCAGATGACAGCCATCAACTTGCTCACAGGCAAATTTCATTAACTCCTTTACAGTTGTAGCCTCCATCTTCCTTTCAGATAGTTACCCATTTACTTCACAATTAAATGTGCCTGTCCCCTGATGCCAGATAAGCACTTTTCCTTGAAAAATCAACAGAAAAATTCCAGGTGGTTTACAAATTTGTAGTTAGAAATACACTGGATTACACATCAATGTCACAGATGGATTTTTGAACTCAGCTTCACAGAATTGTTCCAGAAAAAGCAAATATTCAAGCTAGTAACTACTCCTACATAACCCTTCATTTTATATACAAACTTCCTACTTATGCTTAAATGAGGATCTGTTATCTATCTATCTATCTATCATCTGTCTATCTATCATCTATCTCATCTATCTATCTGTTACAAGCATGTCAAACTCGCGGCCCAGGGGCTACAACAACAAATATTTTTGCGGCACAACAAATATTTTTGCGGCCCAGCCAATATAACGATATGTAAGAAACATTTTAATAAAAATTTCATGACTTAATTTTTACAATATCCTGTTATTCATAATTATTAATAAAGAACTACAATGTTCGCTAATGACTGATTACAATAATCATGTAGCATTCATTTCCCTTATGCGCCTTACACACAGTGCACCTTTTCTCCCCACTAATACTAGCGGCGAATATTTTAGCGGCCGACTGCCACATCCTTAGTCTTGGACTGACTTGTTTGGTGTGCGCAACAGGAAATATTTCACTTTCAGAGAACAAGAAAAATAAGTTTATTTGTGTTACACTTATTAATTTGTGAAGTTATTCAGTGCCTGGTAAGTTAATGTTCAAGAAAAAAATATTAATTTTTATTAAAATGTTCTATTATTTTATGTTAATGATTACTCATTTATTTCAGCCCTTTGTATTCAGTATGTCTCTATTGAAATCAAATGGTAGTAAAAATAAACAAAAATTGCTGACAAACATCAAACTTTCCAAGAAAAGTGGGAATTGGAGTATTTTTGCTGTGAAGTAAAAAATAAAATAATCTGCTTGATATGTAGTAATGATATTAGTGTACCGAAGTTATACATTGAAAATTGAAGCTTTTTTTTTTGCGGGACCCACATAAACTTAAACCTTTTTTATTTGTCCTGTGTTAGCCTTTGAGTTTGACATGCTGAATCTATTATCTATCTATTTGGAATGGGATTCTGTTTTTCTGCAATGGTTCTCAAGGAAAACTCTACTATAAAATATTGTCATGTTTGCTTCAAAATTACGCACAGAAGCTACAGCCTCGTCACTTCAAAAGATGACATCTCACCTTGGTAGCTCACCCTTCTCAGGGGTTGTGTTTTCATCTCTAAAGGGAAATAGTTCTCAGGAAGAGAGAGACACAACATTAATGCTGATGGATTTTCAAGATGACAGCAAGACAAATAACAACCTCTGTTGAATAGCAGTGTCAAAGCATTTTTGAAATACTTGTTTTGTAGCTTTCCTTGTCAGTCCTGATCAACAGGTGCTTTGAAAAACTGAAGCAAGTATTGAAGAAAATTAAGAGCAAATATAAGGAACATATTTGCTTAGATGATCATAATATTTCGAGTTAAATGTAGGATTTTGTTTTGACTCTGCATGCAGTTTTTTGAGGTTACACTTTATGTATACCACACTTTAGAGACATGGTCTTACAATGCATATGACAATTCCATAAACACGATTCAGGAGGATAGGATTTAAAAATAGGAATTTCAAAGCAAAAATTATTGACTGCATATTATGTCAGACTCTGTGCTAAGTGCTTGGTATATAATATCTCAGGCAAACTTAAGAACAATTCCATGAGGCCAGTCCTACTATTCAAGAGATATGGAAATAGTCTTAGGGGTCAGTAACTAATGTTGCACAGCTGCTCAATGAGGGAACTGGGGATAAAGCCTACAATTCAATGAATCCAGAACACAATAGCCGGGGTCTGTCCATTAGCCATTAAGTTGTTTGGGTGAGAAGTTTACAAATATTTTACCAATTACTTCTGGGGAAACAATCTTATTTTGTGTGTTTTATAATAGAAAAACTACTCAGCACAACTAGATCTTGCAACATTGCCTACATTGTGTGAGAAAAAGCATACTTGTTTAAATTCAAGATTATGAAACATTTTTATATTTATAACATGAGATGTGTCAGGCTTAATCTAGCTTCAGTGTTAGAGTCTTACTGCAAAAAGACTCTGCAGCCCCCATGCATTTCATTCCAAGCCAAGTATTCCTACAGTGGAGCTGGTTCCTCCCTCCCCAACCACCATTTAAATGCTCAGTCTAAAGCCAGAGAATGTCCTATTTTCAGACACATTTCTTATTTCTAGGGTCTCCAGTTTGTTTTTAGGCTTTCTGTTACATCTTATTTGGTTTCTGAATACCATGGACTGTATGATTGTTCCCAAGCCTGTCAGTTCATGTCCTCTAGAAAGCAAACACCAAGCTATATGGGGTTAAAAGTGTGAGAGATTTATTGAGGAGGGTGTCTGGGATAGGGAGAATGCAGAAATAGGCAGAACAAGCCTCAGGCCACAATGCAGGGTTGACAGCTATAAAAGAATGGGGTGGAAAATTGATTGGATAGGAAGATCCTCAAAGCAGACCAAGGTATAGTTATGGGAAAGTCTCAGCCACCCCAATAGGGGAACTTAGACACAAACATTGTCCATAGAGGACTCCCACACTGGGCAGAAATAGCCAGGTCCCACAGCACAACATGCTCAGCTATTGGCTACAAGCCTTTCAGGGAGAGTGCCTTGACTAAGATACTGCACTAGATTTGAAGACTCTGGTGTTGGTGGCTGTCAGCTAACTCCTATCCTTAGAGAAGTTTCTCTCCTGATGGAGATCTGATGGCTGCCACAGTTTACCTCAAGTTCAGCAGCTGTACCTCCCTTACAGGTTGGGGAGCAGCTTTTTCATGGTTTCCAAGAGACTCTTCCTGAGGGGAACCATACAAGGGGACAGCTAGTGTGATAGACTATAGCTCTCACCACTACAATTTATATGGGGGCTGTGGTTGATACTCACTCTCATTCTTTTCTAACACCTCTGCTGGGCTCACTTGGTGGTGAGACTCATTCCTCTTTCATGAGAGGTTGGAACCCCTAGTAACTAAAACTTTCTCAGGCCAGGGTTGCTGCATATGATGTTTCAAAATCACAATTGGGCAAGAGACTATCAAGAGGGGTTCCACACATATTTATCTCTGCCCCATCACGCGGCAGCAGCCCTGCCTCCTCCTGCTGACTGGGTCAATGATCTCTTCCACACGGAGACTCATCTTGTCGCCTGCTGGCCACTATACAAAGGAAGTTCAAACTGCCCAGGAGGCAGCGATAGCTGGTTGTTCAATGGGACCCTTGCTGTATCTTCTAGAAAGTGTGTGATTCATTTGGAGACAAGGACCTCTAACCCTGTAGAGCTGAGACGTATGGGGACAAGAAGTACAAAGTCCCCTGATGAGTCATTGGTTGTCAGTTAACTTCATTCCTCAACTGCTATACTGGTATTTGGTCTCCTACCTGTAAGAGGATCATGCAACCCCACATATTGTCATGTCACCTGCAGTGCTTTCCTGTTGTAGGCGAATATATCCCCACCACATTGACATCAAGCTTAGAGGTAAGATTCCTTTTAGCAATGAAATGTGAGTGAAAAAAGATATTCGATGTTTGAGCAGAAGCTTTAGGAGACACTGTGTAGTTCAGTGAGTCCTTTTCTCTCTCTGCCCCAGAAGCATATCCCATATGGCACATCCTGGCTCAGTTTCTCTCCATGGATTGAGGTCTGCTTTCTTTTACAGCATAGGTGGAGAAGGAGGACGAGGCCACGAAGGAAGTTACGCCGGCAAACATTTCCGCATGGGATTCATGACAATGCCTGCTCCTCAGGACCGACTTCCCCATCCTTGCTCCAGCGGCTTCTCCGTGAGGTCACAGTCCCTGCACTCGGTGGGGGGCACAGATGATGACCGCAGCTGTGGCTCCCGAAGACAACCACCCCCCAAGCCCAAGCGAGACCCGAGCACCAAGCTGAGCACCTCATCGGAGACAGTCAACAGCGCAGCCACCAGTAAGAGCGGGAAAACCCCTGAGCGCTCCGAAGGTAACACACCCCTCACCCACTTCCTAGAAAAAGATTTCAGGCAACAGGTCACTGACGAGCATCTGCCTTCCTCCCTGGTCCATCTCCCTCAGGTCCCAGAAAAGAAGAATCCGGGGGTTATTTATTGATATGATGTCAAAAGACAAACAGATAAGGATATTTGATTTATTGGAAAGGGAAGGCAATATGTGTTTTCTTACCCCCTTTATTAAAGCTTTGCGTTATTAGGAAATTATTTTGCCTAGAAATATACATGATATTTATAGTGTCTTGAGTTTATAAGTATTATTGATATGACTAAAGAAGTACTATGTGATTGTTAGGATAAACTTATAATGCAGAAAAATATAAAGAAGAAAAAAACGTAGTCGTTTTTAAAAATAATTATTTTTTACATTTTGGTGTACTTCCTTCCAGGGAATGTATATATATATATATATTTCCATGTCTATATTTTTCCTCATGATGAAACACATAGATCAAATATATCTCAGCCTCCTATCTGTTTTATGAATATAAATTAGGTCAGGCTACCCCCAGATCTGTTCAGCTCTTTAGTCCTCACTTGAGTCAAAAATTCTTGGTTTTCCTGAGTTTTTCCTGAGAGTCCCTTGGTGGGGGAGTGGTCTCTAGTGTGCTTAGATGGAAGCCCATTTAGATTTTGTATATAAGTTGTGGAAAACACTTTAAGGTTCCCAGTACTGCCAGCGGCCAGCTTGAGAGCATGGCTATACCAGGCCCTGTAGCCTTTCTCCCACTCTGTTTGTCCCTGACATTGTCCACAGCATCCCCCAGCACACCGGGTTTCACAGTGGTTTGCTGCAGAGTGGAAGCCAGGTGGTCCTTTCCTCAACTGGGCAGATTTCTTTGTCACCCCAGTCCCTCATGGAATCTCCCTCTTTCTCTGGCCTAATCTTTCCACAGAAGCTCAAATCTAGTCCATGAGATGGGGTGCCATTAGGCATGTGTTATATTTTCCATTACTCTCATCTCCCCTTATTGGTGCCCAAGTGCCTGTTTAACCAAAACACCAAAGCTTTAGTGCATACTGAAAAATACAAATAAAAGCCTAGAGATAAAGCTAACCCCTCTGTTCTACTTGGAAAATCTCCACTATGCTCAGTGTTTCCTATTACCCAAATATGCAAAACTATATCATGAGTAGGTGTATGTGTGCAAGAGTACAGATAACATGTATGTGTATGTGTATTTACAACATTGAAATCATTGTGAATAGAGTTGTGTGCTTGTATTTTCACTTCCTCTCTTGTGACTATTTTTCATGGCATTCAGTTTGTTAAGAAACCATTTTTAAGAAGAGAAGTATATATCATAGTATTTTATTTAATCACCACCTCCTTGATGAATACTTATTTGGTTTCAGTTTGGTTTGCTATGATGAAAAGCACAGCAAAGATTGTGTATGTCTGTGTATCTATGTAACTATTTTTTTCTGCTGCCTTAGAGTATTTGATTTTTTTCCTCATGATTCAAGATCATTAGTATGTCTTTTAACTTTTAACACACTGGTGCTTTTAGAAACAATTTAAGTCTTTGGTTTACTTGTTAATACACTAAAGGGCCCTGGAGCATATTAAATATTATTCTCAGGTTACATCTGATACTGATACATGGTCCCTTTCATTTCTCTTTGTTTTCTATGGTCTTGTTTCCAGAGGTTACCTCTCTCCTGCTTTTCTTGCCAGAAAACTATATCATCAATTAGATTAGGTGATTTAGAAGAGAGGTCTCTGAATGAAGAGGGCCTGAACATAATCTAGAATTATCTACACTAATAAAAGACAAACATGCAAATTGACCGTACCTTTGCTACACCTTAAGCCATGCTCACCAGCCAATCAGAGTGACTATATGCAAATTAACCCAACTAAGATGGCGGCCGGCAGCCATGGAGCTGGAGCGAGCAGGAGGCTTGGGTTGCCCCTGGAGATGGAGGAAGCCAAGCTTCCCTCCCGCCTGCCCGCCCTGGCCGGCTCTGAGCTCCTCTCAAGGCTACAAAGTTTCAATTATAGAAGGTAAATAAATCCCAGAATAAAAAAAAAAGAAAAAAAGGAGAGTCTGGGAGCTTCCGTTGCCGGAGGGGCTTGGCCAGCCTGAAAATGGCCCTCAGCCCCTCACCCAGGCTGGCCAGGCACCCCAGTGGGGACACCCCACCCTAAAGGGGGTGTGGCCAGCCTGAAAACAGCCATCAGCCCCTCACCCAGACTGGCCAAACCTCCATGGGGTGAGGGCCCCCACTGGTGGGGGGGCTTGACCAGCCTGCAAACAGTCATCAGCCCCTCACCCAGGCTGGCCAGGCACCCCAGTGGGGACCCCCACCTTGAAGGGGGTGTGACCAGCCTGCAAACACCCATCAGCCCCTCACCCAGGCTGGCCAGGCACCCAAGCAGGACCCCCACCCTGATCCGGGACACCCTTCAGGGCAAACCAGCTGGTCCCCACCCATGCACCAGGCCTCTATCCTATATAATAAAAGGGTAATATGCAAATTGACCCTAACA